AATATCGGAACAGAAGATGCTCCCCGTCCTCTTATCACTTCGGAAATTACAACGGTCTTAGGAGCCCTGCGCCAGGAACCAGGGGCGGGGACCAACGTGAGCATTGTTACTTCACAGCAGGCAAACCACACCGTCCAACATACAAACAGAGGCTGAGAAAACAGAAAGGTACCGTTTATAGTTCAGCCATGCGACCCTTTCATGACCTACTGACCAGCTAGTCCTGCCAAATGACGGGCTGAGTGCTGTGAAGGATCTGGATTAAAACACGGCACCTACACTATCAAAACTCAAGGCAGGCCTGGCCTGGGGGAACAGGGCTGCCCCTGGGGGTCCCTGCTTCTGTTAGCGCGGGTGGAGGCTGAGTCTCCAAGGCGTGGGTTTGTATTTCCCTCCGTCTATGTAGGTGAGGAGCAGGGACACCTAACAACGGCGGCAAGTCAGCTCGCTCTGGAAAACTGGAACAATTCCCCAAAGAGGGAGGGGTGATGATGTCTGTGTTCACACCAGGGAACAACCAGGAATAGCCTGTCCACAGGTTACCGGATGGGGGCTTCAGGGCCAAAAGGAAGTCCCTGAGCTCAGAGGCACAGAAGCACGGGGGCCCCCCCACTCATTATAACATGATGTTAAGAAGGCACCATGCTATGGGTGGGAAACTGAGGCAGGGCATCCCGTGACGAAGGCCAGATGGACGTGGGAGGGGGGCAGAGTCCACGAGGAGCTGGAGGCAGGGGCGGGGAGGGTCAGAGACCTCGCAGGGCCATGAGTCCAGGCCCAGTCACTGCTGGTGGGTGGGTCACAGGCCAGGGCGAGCCTGAGCAAGCCGTCACCTCCAGGGAGGGCCACTTCTGCAGCACAAACGTTGTCATGCAAAGGCAAGAGAAAACACACCTGGAGGGAAACAGGACAAGCTCAAGAAGCGACGAGCATCTGATAAGGGCTTGGTGACGGAGCACGGGGGTGGGCGAGCCTGGGGCCTGGGGTGACTGTGAGCCCAGGCGCTGCCCACACCGGCTTCTGGCCCTTCTTCAAGTTACTTGAACATCCCGCATGACTGCGTCCTCGTCTGTAAGACAGGACTGAATGACCTCAGGGCTGTGGGGCATGGAAGCGCTGAGGCCCGTGGGCGGCTCCGAGCAACGTTCAGCACAGTCTGTGCTCAATAAACGTTAACGATGTATCCACCTCTTTCTCCAGCCTCACCGTCCATGACTGCTCCCTTCCCACTTTCCTTCTCGGGCTTCACTTGAAGGAAGGGGCTCTACTGTTGTTCTAAATGTTTAAAAACAACTGGTTTACATGAAAAATCATGGAAATGTTCAACAAAGGTGGTGGCATCAGGAACCTGAGGGTCGGATTCCAGGACGTGGTAACCTGTTCGGTGAAGAGGAGGCAGGGATGCAGGTGGGAGGGACCTGGACAGACCAAGGGGCAGCAGAGAGTGTGGTGTGTGCCAGGGCAGCTCAGGGGACATCCCCAGTTCAGGGTCAGGCAGGTAGAGGGGCACGGGCTGAGGCTGGAGCGAGGGAGCCTGAGGCAGGCTCTGAGTGCAGTGCTGGGGTTCTGAGAAGGTGAGACATCACTGAGGGAGGATGGGGAATGCATTTGTGATTCAGGAGCAGAGAAATGCCTGCAGGCTGTTGCCTTGCTCCCAGGGAGAGAGGATGGGGCTGGGCCAGGTGAGTGCAGTGGAGGCAAGAAATAAAAGGGAATCAAGAGATGTGCCAAAGATGAAACATTCTCTGACATAAATCTCAGCAATGTTCTCCTAGGGCGGTCTACTCAGGCAAGAGAAACAAAAGCAAAAAATAAACAAATGTGATCATAATCGAACTTAAAAGCTTTTGCACAGCAAAGGAAACCATAAGCAAAACAAAACAACAACCCATGGAATGGGAGAAAATACTTACAAATGATGTGCTGACAAAGGTTTAGTTTCCAGAATATATAAACAGCTCACACAACTCAATAACAAAATAAAACAATCCAATCCAGAAATGGGCAGAAGACCTAAACAAGCAATTCTCCAGTGAAGACATACAAATGGCCAATAATCACATGAAAAATGCTCAGTATCTTTAATTATCAGAGAAATGCAAATCAAAACTAAATGAGGTATAACCTCACACCAGCCAGAATGGCCATCATTCAAAAGTCCACAAACGAGAAAACCTGGAGAGGCTGTGGAGAAAAGGGAACCCTCCCACACTGTTGGTAAGAATGTAGTTCGGTGCAGCCATTATGGAAAACAGTAAAGGAGATTCCTTAAAAAACTGAAAATAGACTGACCCTATGATCCAGCAATCGCACTCCTGGGCATATATCTGGAGGGAACTCTAATTCAAAAAGATACATGCACCCAGTG